GGCAGAACACGCCGTCTATCTTTATCACGGTTTTCCCCAGGCCACCGAATGGCGAACGCTGCATATGCTGACGCAGACGCTGTAGTCCGCCAACATGGGCCCCTGGCCACTCGCTCTTGACTTTCTGGCCACATAGTCGACATACGGCTACGTTTACTTCCTCGGGCGGCTTGACGAAAAATTGCCACACCGCCGAGTGGGAAACTTTGCCCCCGCTACTCCTCACTTGGCTGACTGCTACTTCTCCGTGCACTCCGGCACCACTACATGGCCGTGGTGGTAGGCTGCAGTGGAGCTGGGTGCTCTACTCCGTGGCCGTTTGCCTCCACTGCACACTGCTGCGACCCTGCTGCCTCCTGGGCAACCCACCGACTGTTTTGCTCGCTGCCAAGCTGGCACCCTCTTCTCCTGATGATGCGGAAGCAATAGCCTGATGACGACGAGGCTGCCAAGTGCGATCAGCCTCCATCATCATCAATTAGGGTCTCCGCCTCACTACTAGCCCCCTCGGCTGCGTGTGGGTCAGCAGACAGACCTGTCTCTAGACCGGCTAACCGAGCCACTCTCCTCGCCAGTTACTTCTTCGCCTGGCTGCTGAAGAGGCGGATGTCTCCCCCCGTTCCTGACCCGCCCTCTGTTAGCTCTTCCTCACTGTACAGTGGGGCTGAGCCCACAGCATGCGATACTTCGCTTGGTGAGAGGGAACACCAAAGGACAGGGGCAGGTAGAGGACACGTGATTTTCAGTGGGCTTGCTCCCGGGCCATGCCAACTAACGGTTTGTGTCTGACGTACCCACCGACCGTTGGCTGTAGGTGTCAGAGGTGACCCTGGGAAGAGGAAGACGACCGAGCCAACCAATCGATGACGGCAGGGTTGTCGGTGGAGACACGACCGCTGGATGACACCGGGAGCACTGGCCTCTGGCTGCAACTAGTGCTGCCTCGACCCCTTCCTCTGCTGCCACGTCTGCTCGCTCCTGAAACATTGCCTCCTCTGCCACTCCTCTGCGTGTTGTCTGACATACTCTTTAATTCAACGATTCTGTGTCCCTGAGTAACAATTCTGTGTCCCTCAGTAACATTCTGTGTGTCCCTGAGTAACAATTCTGTGTCTGTGCCTGAGTAACAATTCTGTGTCCCTGAGTAACGATTCTGTGTCCCTGAGTAACGATTCTGTGTCCCGAGTAACAATTCTGTGTCCCTCAGTAACAATTCTGTGTCCCTGAGTAACGATTCTGTGTCCCTGAGTACACGATTCTGTGTCCCTGAGTAACGATTCTGTGAGTAACCTGTGTCCCTCAGTAACAATTCTGTGTCCCTGAGTAACAATCTGTGTCCCTGAGTAACAATTCTGTGTCCCTCAGTAACAATTCTGTGTCCCTCAGTAACAATTCTGTGTCCCTGAGTAACAATTCTGTGTCCCTGTGCAATTCTGTGTCCCTGAGTAACAATTCTGTGTCCCTGAGTAACGATTCTGTGTCCCTGAGTAACGATTCTGTGTCCCTGAGTAACGATTCTGTGTCCCTGAGTAACAATTCTGTGTCCCTCAGTAATCAATTCTGTGTCCCTGAGTAACAATTCTGTGTCCCTCATAACGATTCTGTGTCCTCGAGTAACAATTCTGTGTAACGATTCTGTGTCCCTGAGTAACAATTCTGTGTCCCTGAGTAACGATTCTGTGTCCCTGAGTAACAATTCTGTGTCCCTGAGTAACAATTCTGTGTCTGAGGTAACGATTCTGTGTCCCTCCAGTAACAATTCTGTGTCCCTGAGTAACGATTCTGTGTCCCTCTCAGTAACAATTCTGTGTCCCTCAGTAACAATTCTGTGTCCCTGAGTAACAATTCTGTGTCCCTGAGTAACAATTCTGTGTCTGTCCCTGAGTAACAATTCTGTGTCCCTTAGTAACAATTCTGTGTCCCTGAGTAACAATTCTGTGTCCCTCAGTAACAATATGTCTGTGTCCCTGAGTAACAATTCTGTGTCCCCTGAGTAACAATTCTGTGTCCCTGAGTAACGATTCTGTGTCCCTCAGTAACAATTCTGTGTCCCTCAGTAACAATTCTGTGTCCCTCTCTGTGTAACAATTCTGTGTCCCTCAGTAACAATTCTGTGTCTGTCCCTGAGTAACAATTCTGTGTCCCTGAGTAACAATTCTGTGTCCCTGAGTAACGATTCTGTGTCCCTGAGTAACAATTCTGTGTCCCCTGAGTAAGTAACAATTCTGTGTCCCTCAGTAACAATTCTGTGTCCCTGAGTAACAATTCTGTGTCTGTCCCTGAGTAACGATTCTGTGTCCCTGAGTAACAATTCTGTGTCCCTGAGTAACAATTCTGTGTCCCTGAGTAACAATTCTGTGTCCCTGAGTAACGATTCTGTGTCCCTAAGTAACGATTCTGTGTCCCTAAGTAACGATTCTGTGGCCCTAAAGTCTCTGTGGCCCTACCTCTGTCCCTAATACACAGAGGTCTGTCTCTCTTGAATGACCGGAGGCTAATGGAGAATTGTAAGATGGCCGCAATTTATAGCTCCACCATTACACAGTGCTGGCTGGCTGGCTGCTGATTGGCTAATGCGATCACATGTCATGAATGAATGCATTATGGGTCAGCGCGCCTTGTCTGCGCGCCTTCCCAGAGATCCCCGCTCCGTCGCCACACATGTCGCTGCCCTTTTTGGGAAAATTCGATTCGTGCATCCGAAGTTTGCTAATTTTCGGATTCGGCGCGAATCGAATTTTTCCTGATCTTCGAAACGAATTGCACTTCGCCATGTTCGATTCGATCATCTCTAATGCACACATCACCCCCATACTTAAAAAGCCCCCCTGGACCCCAATGACCCGAACAACCTCAGACCCATCTTCCCTGCTCCCATTTACATCTAAACTCCTCGAGCGCCTTGTCTACACCCGCCTATGCTCTCACCACCTCAACGACAACCACCTCCTCGATCCCCTACAGTCTGGCTTCCGTCCCCTACACTCCACCGAAACCGCCTTACTCAAACTCTCCAACGACCTCCTAACCGCCGAAGCTAATGGCCACTATTCAGTGCTCCTACTCCTTGACCTCTCTGCGGCCTTCGACACAGTCGACCGCCCCCCTCCTCCTCAAAAAACTACACTCCCTCGGCCTCAGAGATTCTGCTCTCTCCTGGCTCTCATCCTACCTGCCACAACACTCTTTCAGCGTTTCCTATAATGCTACCACCTCCCCCTCACTCCCCCTCTCTGTTGGGTCCCTCAAGGCTCTGTCCTTGGGCCCCTTCTCTTCTCCATCTACACTTCCTCCCTTGGCCAACTCATACACTCTCACGGCTTCAACTACCACCTCTATGCCGACGACACACAAATCTATCTCTCAACCCCCCACCTCACCCCCTCGGTCTCTGCCCGAATCACACACCTGCTGAGCGACATATCAGATTGGATGTCGCTCCACTTCCTTAAACTGAACCTCTCCAAAACCGAGTTTCTTGTCTTCCCCCCAGCCGGGACCCCACCCCCCATTGACTTCTCCATCACATCCAACAACGCCAATATCAAACCCGCCCTGCAGGCCAGAGTACTTGGTGTCATTCTGGACTCCAACCTATCCTTCCAGCCCCAAGTCCAATCTTTAACAAACTTGTGCAGACTCCACCTCCGCAACATCGCCAAAATACGCGCGTTCCTAACCCCAGAAACCACTAAACAGCTCATCCACTCCCTCATCGTATCACGACTCGACTACTGCAACTCCCTCCTCACTGGCCTGCCTTGCCGCTGGCCATCCCCGCTTCAGTCGATCCTGAATACGGCTGCCAGACTCATTCACCTTTCCAACCGCTCCGTTTCCGCCACCCCCCTCTGCCAATCCCTCCACTGGCTTCCGATTGCGCAACGGATCAAATTCAAAATCCTAACATTGACGTACAAAGCCGTCCACCATACTGCCCCGAACTACATCATTGACCTAATATCCAAGTACCGCCCAGCACGCACACTCCGCTCCTCACAAGACCTCCTTCTCTCTAGTTCCCTGGTCTCCTCCTCCCATGCCCGCCTCCAGGACTTCTCCAGGGTGTCACCCATCCTCTGGAACTCCCTGCCCCAACCCATCAGATTATCACCTACTCTCCTTTCCTTTAGGCGCACCCTGAAAACCCATCTCTTCAGGGAAGCCTACCCTACCCCCTGCTAACTTGACCGACCTCTTCCACTCTTCCTACCACTCCGTCCCCCACAGCTATCTCCTCCTGTACCACTATCCCCTCCCTCCTAGATTGTAAGCTCCAAAGAGCAGGGCCCTCAATCCCCTCATGTTTTGCATTGTATTGGTATTGTTCTGTCACATGTTCTGTCCCCCTTTGTAATGTACAGCGCTGAGCGAACTATTGGCGCTTTATAAATACTGTATAATAATAATAATATATAGCGCCAATAGTTTGCTCAGTGCTTTACATTATAGTGGGAGACAATACAGTAACAATACAGTTCAATACAAGAGGGATTTGAGGGCCCTGCTCCTTGTGTGCTGAGCTGCCATGCATTAAGATAGTACAGTATCTTTTTTTTTTTTTGTCCCCATAGACATCAACGTAACAAGTATTTTCATATGTTTTAGTGTATGACAACAATCCCCCACTTCTAGCAAACTCTGCTTTATTTTACTTTTACATGCACTAAAAATGCATCATGCACACACAAAAACACAGGAAAATGCAGATGCAAAGGTATGAATCTATTCTAAATGGTGAGTCTTCCATTGTACTTCTGTATAACTCCGAAACAACACTGCTCCCCAATGAAATATGCTGTAAATACTGGTTATAAAATGTTTCTTTAGATACCACCTTTGGGGAAAATGAATTTAAGCTTAATTCAGGTTCAAGTGCAGCGTACTGAGGTTTGCATAAATGCGTTGACCTAAAATTTTTCTTGTTCATTTTTGGTAGTCTGTTTTATTTTCTGTTTTGCAGGATAAAATGCTTTGGTGTAAAAATAATATGAAAATACCTTTATTCTGTCCATGCAAGCTTCCATCTTGAGTTGCTCTACCGCATTTCGTGCTTGAGAGATGCTAGTTGTGCTGTTGTTAGACACAATGTCCTTCATTGTACGATTCTAATTGCAAAAAAAAAATACAAATACAAGGATTAAAAACAGACTGCAACTTAAATACAAACTGAGGAAAGAGCTTTAGAGCATTGAGAGAAATACATGGAGCTCTTTTTGAAAATATTAGTTGCCTGGCTGGAAGCCTCCAAAAAAATAAGACACCAGTGCCACATTCCTTGTTTACTTTAAATCCCTGCCTGAGAGTAGAAGTTATGGTATAATATATACCAGGCCTCAAAATTTCCACTCGCCTGCTCGCATTTGGCAAGTGGAAAAAACCATGGGGTTGAGTTACTGGGCTTGACTTTGGAAATGGCCGGCTGCTTCTTTCATTCCGGAGAGGGTGCTGCGGTTAGTGCTTGCGGGCAGGCGGAATGGTTGAGCACTGGTCATGGTGAGCTCTGACTGGGCAGCCCGCTGCTGGGATGGTCTCTCTCTCTCTCCTGATAGCAGAATGTGGAGCCTCAGCCAGTAAAGACGAGCCAAACACCCTCCCCTCTCCCCTTCCCTGCCAAGGAAAACACACTGTCCCGGCTCTGCCGTATGCTGAAAACACTCACATTCTAGCTGCTGTCAGTAAATACAGTTTCTTCCTGTCCCGCAGTGGTGGCAGTGGTAGCTCCTCCTCCACCTGGCCAGATCCCCTGGACCTGAAGAGCAAGTGCAGCTGGCCCAAATGAGCAGGCACTGAAAACCCGGCAGGATCAAGAGCATGGTGAGGCTAGCAGCAGTGACTGCTTCTTCTGGGAATTCTTCTACACTCAACCTCTACATCACTGTGCATTGTACCCTGCTGTGTGCCCTGCACCCTGCTGTGCCCTGCTGTGTACCCTGCTGTGTGCCCTGTGCACTGCTGTGTACCCCATGCCCTGCTCTGTACTCTGCTGTGCCCTGTACTGTGCTGTGTGCCCTGTAGACAGCTGTGTGTCCAGCCGTGTGCACTGTACCATGCTTTGTGCCTTGTACCCTGATGTGTGCCCTATACCTCTATCAGTGAGGCCGTGTCATTTTATGAGATAATTTACGAAGGCTGGGTAGGGTAGGGGTTCGGTAGGGAAACTGGTGGCAACTAACTCTTAAGGCCTGGCTAGTAGCTCAGGACTTGAAATTTTGAGCCCTGATCTATACATTTACGATAAGTTCTATAACTGAATCTAAAAGGGGCTCTCTACATGAAACAACTGTATCCAGTTACATCTACATGCCAGATATCTTGTGTATTAGTTTTCTTTTTTGGATATTGGAGTTTTATTTTCCCATAATATTCCAGGGCAGTGATTACCAACTTCATAAATGTAGGGGCCCCTTAATGTACTGATGGCTACACAATAGTTTGTTTTTTGTATAGTTATGATTAGTAATAATTAGGATGGTATTATTACCATTTGTAGTTTACAAAAACATATTATACATTTTTTATGGGACAGAAATGGCTTAACATTTGATAACAGATTTTGATGTGTATATATTTTTTCTAGGTTTTACTTAAAAATGCATTTACCAGTAATTTTTCAATGCAACTCTTAAATAATTTGTGCAGCCCAGTTGTTTATTTCAAAATAAAATCAACAAAGCCTTCAGACTGAAAGACTATCACATAAATGTGATTTTTTTTTTTTGTGTACTGTAGCAGAATGGCTGACATTTAGATTTAGGAGAGTTTTTTTTGCCTTAACATTACATTGTGAGGCACACAAAAAAAAATGATCTGTGTGCATATATTGCTAGTGTAACATTAAGATAAGATCAAGTAAGGATTGTGCAGACACAAATCAGCACAATGAAATTTTCACGTGTTTGCAAACATTAAAGCTCTGAATGTTATCGCAGTCGCCTACATGAGTGTTTGATGCTCATGTAGTAAAGGCAAATGTCACCAAGAACAGCCAAAGTATTTGTTGAGACCTAGGAATTAATAGGGAGAAGGGATATTGTAGATGTTGTTAGGACCTAAAACTGATACCTTGATATATTATGTATATGTTATCTTTTACAGCCTGCACACTTACCCATGATATAGCAATAAACAATTATGCTGGATGCAATATTTCCTGTGTTATTTTGCTCACAAAAGTAGATCACTGTTGTACCGTTCTATAAACCTGTTAAGGTTCTGCTATGAACCATGCAAAAAAGGTCTCTCCTTAAACACCCAGTAATTACAAATGGTAAATTTTTTCAATTAATTAACTGTTAAAAGTGCCTTGCCTCTCTAAAACAGAAGATTTAATGTCACATTTCATGACCACCCTCATTTTGGAGTACTGGGAATTTTTTTTGCTGACTTTCAAGTGTCCTCTGACCACTTTCACAAAAAAACAACTTACAGAAATGGTACACAATATTGTTTTTTTTTCTCTACAAAAAGAGGCAGTAACAAATACAAACCTATGTTCAATGATTTTGTTTAATTTGCCAAAAATATTAGGATTCCAAAAATTTCAGCAATTTTTTTTAAAGAGCAACCCTTCCTAACTTTTATGCCAAGGGCAACCAACAGTGCTCATTTGGCTCATACTTTGAAGCTAGCTTTACAGAAAGTAAAAAATCACCACCTAGCCAAAGCAGGCAAATTATCCATATTTATCTAATTGTGTTCTGCCAGTGGGGAGCCTTCCCTGCCAGCAGAATACAATGATCACTACTAGTGGTTATAGCCGTCGGAAGTGATCACGTGCAGAAAATCTGACCGGCTGGTTGGAAATCGATGGATCGACTTCAGTAAAATGAGCCTGCCCCTAGATGGATTGAATCTCTGTTGTTCAGAAGGAACCAGCTGAAATTTGATCTATCTATGGCCGGCTTAACAAGTCCATTCTAGAAATATTTCATACCTCATATTCTTGGTATATAGGGATTAACTCACAAGAAACAGATCTAAGAGATGCTTCTCCCACTACTCTATTTCCAACAGCAATTGTTGGACCAAAGAGCTGAAATACAACAGGAAACTATAGTACAGGCCAGTCAGCCTAATATCAATAGTACATAAAGTATTGGAAGGAATGTTAAGGGACGTTACCCACATACTTTCTAGTGAAAAGTGTATAATTTGTAGTTACCAACATGTATTTATAAAGGACAGTTCTTGCTAGACTAAAGTTTTAACATTCTATGAGGAAGTGAGCAGTCATTTGGATAGTGGAAGGCTCAATGTCCTTGAACTAGATGAAGCCCAGAGAAGGGCAACAAAAAAATAAGTGGACTAGAGGAACTCAGTTATAAGGAACAACTACAAAAAATAAAACTACCTTCCCTGAAGAAGAGACATTTCAAAGTATGGTATGAATGGGAAGCAGTTCAGTCTTAAGCTGCAAAAGGGGTTCTTTACTGCTGAAGTGGTAAAGATGTAGAACTCCCTTCCTAACTTTGTGACATCAGCAAAGAATAAACAGAAAATTCAAAAAACTATTAGATGTGTTTCTCAGTGACCACAGTATACAAGGATATAGAAATTGTTAACAACACCCAAACACACATATTGGTTGACCTGAATGGACCTTGGTCTTTATTCAACCTTATCAACTATGTAACAAAAACAGGTTGCTGAAGTTCAATGAAAAGTCATATTGTGATAGTTAAGATTAATTGTGTTTTTAACCTTTCAAAGATGGCATGCCCCAGGCACATATTAAAAATGTCAGTCACTTTCATCTAAAGGGCTTAAGCTGGCCATACAAGGATCAAAATTCATCTGGTTCAACAGGGGCCAGCCAAGGTTAAATCCATGTACAGGCAGGCTGGATTGACCTGTTGGATTGTTCTGCAAGCGGTTACTGCTAGCGGCTATAGCCGCGGGCAGTAATCATTATGGTCTGCTGGCCAGGAAGGCTCTCCATGCCCACCTGCCACCAGAACACAATAGCACTGCAGAAGGCATGCCCCATCAGCACTTGGGAAAGAACCAGTTAAATCACAGTGGCTTCTACAGGGGTAGTGCTACATTTATATAATCCTTTTAGAATTAAAGCTGAACTATGAACACATGTAAAAAAAATAATGTATAAAAAAAATTATGTCATTCTATATTGTTTAAAATCATATACTTCAATTTATCTCACACTTCAGCCTTTTGTAACCCCCTGTACAGTAAAACTAGGGGAAGGAGGGGCAACACATGGGCCAATCAGGTGTGCTGTATGTACATGTTCTGCATGGACATGTGCTGACAGAAAAAGAAAGCAGTTTGCAAACTGTAGAGATTAGTCCTGCTGTTAATTCATTGTCTTGTCACAGGCTGGAGACATGGAAAGAACATAGTTGCGTTGTTTAGCTGCAGTAGAGAAAATTTCAGTCCACCAGGTAACTTTCCATACTACAGGACAGAAATTCATATTAGCTCCCATACATGTATCTGAACAGTTATTTTAACTGTTGTTTGAAGTTCACCTTTTAAAAGCAAAAATAAAATTAGTTTTAAGAAATCTGGAAGCGGTAACACTGGTTCCTTTCATAGTTTTGGTACAGATAAAGAAAATAATGGTATCTGTTTTAAAACAAATTGAACAAGAGCCATATCAACAACTGTCAACTCAACTATGTCCTATAATGAGCAATACATAAGTAAACAATTATAATAAGGACCTCCTGCGCTACTAATAAGTGATAAATCCAATGTGTGGGAGTTGCTAGCACCTAACCATATACCAAGTGGAAATAAATGAATAAATAAATATAACGATGCAGCGCTACCCTAAATATAATCATACAGTACAATATATAATAGAAAAAAAATGCAGAGTAAAAAAATATCACAAGTGACTATTAATCAGTGAATCGATCCTCTCTGGGATCTATGGTGAGCAATAACGTGATCTCACCTGGTATCAAGACCAGGAACCAGTGACACCAAATCGTCCAAATGGGAACATGAATACGAAAAAAAATAAATATATATATATATATATATATATATATAAATAACATGAATCCCTGAATGGGATCAATATTCTCATGCATATCGTGACTAAAAATAAAAATGGCTAAGTTAAGCCATA